ATTCCTGATGACAATTAGCCTGTCAACAGAATTCTCATTAGCACCAGCACTGCTAATATCACTGATAATGCCTTTAATCCTGGTACTAATAAGAACAGCAAATAGAGCCACCCACTCGCACACTGAGGCACAGGCACACTGGTACATATATTTAAAGATACGCTTAAAATATATTCCTATACATACAAAATAGATGCATATGGAATACATACACAGCAGTCTCATACATATACATGCTAAACATAAACACATACACACTTACTTACACACATACGCATACATACAAATAGACATATATTTAAACTTTTACACACACACATAAATACACTCATACACACTTATAGACACACTCACTCACTCACACACACACAAACAGACACATGTTTAAACTTATACACACACGTGCGCAGCCAACACACACAAAAGCGCACATACACACACATACTTACACGTACGCATCCAGCACACACAAAAGCACACTTATACACACTTACACGTACACATCTAACACACACACAAACACACTTACACACACTTACACGCACGCATCCAACACACACACACAAACACACTTGCACATACTTACACATACGTATACAACACACACATAAACACACTTATACACAATTGCACATACTTACACGTACGCATCCAGCACACACAAAAGCACACTTACACATACTTACACGTACACATCCAACACACACGCAAACACACTTACACACACTTACACGTACGCATCCAACACACACACACACATACACACTTACACATACACATACGCATACAACACACACACAAGCACACTTATACACACTTACACATACTTACACGTACACCTCCAACACACACACAAACACACTTACACGTACGCATCCAACACGCACACACACACATTACACACTTACACATACACATACGCATACAACACACACACAAACACACTTATACACACAACATACTTACACGTACACGCCCAACACGCACACAAACACACTTACACATACTTACACGTACACGCCCAACACGCACACACCCCCAGTCAAATCAAAGCAGATTAAAGGAATTATTCCAAGTGGATTTCTGTGTTTGATTACTTCTTGTTTAATAATGAGACCCTTAACTTCCGGGAAATTAATTTAGCTTGATGGGCTTGTCAATATTTGAACAATTTGCAAAGATCATCATGATTTCTGAATTCATTAGTAAATTAACATGTCTCCCCGCATGTGCGCTTTTGGGCGTCAGTCTCACGTACATAGGTGTACATGATGCTGTGGTGTGTACGTGGTAAGGTTATGGTTTACTTGTGTGTGTTTGTGTATGTGTTTGTTGTGTGTATTTCTGATATGGAAGAGCATATGCAAATAAGCACGTGTACACACACAGACACAGACACGCACACAACACATACACACACACACACACTTTGCAGACACAGAAGGACTACAACACACACACATAACAGACACAAAAAGACAACACAAACACGCACATACACAAACAAACCAACACACACGCACGCCCACACGCAAATAAACACCTACTCACCCACACACCAACAGACGCACCAAGCAAAAAAAAAAAAAAAAAAAACACACTCACACGCACGCCCACGCCCACGCCCTCCTTCTAAATCTAAAAGGAATATCAGTCAAAAAGCAAATATGCAGAAACTTGAGTCAAAGGATTTTCTCAGTTTTATCTCCGTCTTGTCCTTCGCGATGGACCCCAGAAGAGGTGGCTCGAGGGGGTCCGGGAGATGGCGGTTGTGAAATAACGTCATTTTGGTTGTTATTGCTACTGCTGTTGCTGTTGTTGTTATTATTGTTATTGTTATTGACGTTATCGTTATCCTTTTTGTTATTGGTGTTTTATTATTGTTATTATTATTGTCATCATCATTATCATTACTGATATTATTATTGTTATTATCATCATTATTGTAGTGATTATTTTGGTTGTTACTGCTGCTGTTATCACTGCTATTGTTTTTATTGAATCTATTATCTTTGTCATTGTTTTATTATTATCATTATCATTACTGATGTTACCATATTATTATCATCATTATTCATTAATATTACATTATCATCGTTGTTATTGATATTTTTATTATTTTCATTATTATCATTGTTATCATTATCATTATCATTATCATTCACTCTCTCATTTTCCTCCTACCTTTCGTCTCATTTTTCCCTTTTCACTGTCTTCTCCCTCTCCCTCTCTTTTCTTTCCCACTCTGCCCCTCTCTCACTCCCAAGTCTTCCATTAATTCATTACTCTCCTCTCACTTTAAATCTTACATCCTTCATCTTCGTCCTTAAACTCCTTCACCTCCCTTTCTTCCTTATCCCCCTCCCTCCCTCCTTCTCTTCCCTTTCTTTTTCCTCGTCTCCCTTCCCTTTTTATGTCCCCCCCCCTCCCCTCCCTTCTTCCTCTCCCCCCTACTTCGCAAAAATGTGCATAAACTGACGCTCTCACTATCTCGAAGATTGATAATGATAATAACAGTAATAATATTGATGATAACAGCTGTAATAATTATAATAATAACAACAGTAATAATATTGATGATAGCAACTGTAATAATTATAATAATAACAACAGTAATAGTATTGATGATAACAACTGTAATAATGATAATAATAACAACAGTAATAATATTGATGATAACAACTGTAATAATGATAATGATAACAGTAATAAAAATAATGATAACAACAATAACAAAGATAATTATTTCAGTAATAAGAATAATGATAACAATATTGACAATAGCAATGTTCATTACAGAGCTGGAATAGCATTTTCATGGATTCGTACTCTGATGTGTGCGTATGTATGTACGTGTGTGTGCGTATTCTGATCAGATCGTAAATTCTGGAACAAAAGCCTTTCATGATCAGTAGAATATTGAAAGAATATTGCGTCCTGTGCTTGCAACATCCACAAAGGGACGCAAATTGGAAAGTCTATTAAGCTTGTAGATCAAAATAGATATATTTTCAAAGGGTCTGATGATTAAATTAACTAGATGAAGACATGAATAAGTAAATAATTAGCTTGAGAGATGGATAGATAGATTGATAGATGAATAGGAAGAGATAGAGAGAAAATGTGGTAGCGTAGAAGTGAGAGAAAGAGGTAATTAGATAGGAAGATAGAAAGATAATCACTACACTAATAGACAGATTGGTGAGTATGTAATTAAATAGATAAACAAATACATGAATGATAAGATAATGATAAAATTTTCGAAACAAAATATAAACATAGTAGTTGACTTTCCTTGCGATATAAAAGAAGTTATTACTACAGTCAAATACGATCAGGCTTCTATTCTTTATATTGAGCAAATAACATGATATAACATGTTCCTTATCACACACACACACACACACACACACACACACACACACACACACACACACACACACACACACACACACACACACACACACACACACACACACATATGTCCCATTTGCAATGTGAGTGTGCGTGTGTGTGCGCACACTCACACATATTTCAAGTGGGACATGATTTTTCACCGCCAAAAGCCAGGAGAGTACACACACGCATACAGAAGGAAAAAAAAAGAAAAAAAAATCAGGAACACTAGTCTACCCCCCCCCCCCCTCTCTCTCTCTCTCTCTCTCTTACGCCCTCTTGCTCTCTCTCTCTCTCTCTGTCGCCCTCTCGCTCTCCCTCCCTCACTCACTCTCTCTCTCTCTCTCTCTCTCTTCTCTCTCTTCTCTCTCTCTCTCTCTCTCTCTCTCTCTCTCTCTCTCTCTCTCTCTCTCTCTCTCTCTCTCTCTCTCTATCGCCCTCTCGCTCTCCCTCAGTCCCTCTCTCTCTCTCTCTCTCCACCCATCCAACCATACCCACACACACACACACGCACGCACGCATAGCCAAACACACATAAACTATATTTTAGCAGAAAGCAAAAGTTTCGTCCGAATTTTCTTCATGTCTCCCTGAGGTGTGTGTTGGTGTCGAAAGTTTAGTGAACCAAGTCAGCGTGAGGTCCAGGACACATTAGCGAAGTGGGGAGGCGGGGGAGGGGGGGGGAGTCATTTGCTGTGAGACTCGAAAATGTGATTATCATTGGTGTGGCTCTTGCGATAGTTGATATGATGTTTTTTTTATTGTTATTATTACAATAGTAATGTTGATAATAATAATAGTAATGAAATAATGATGATTATTATTATCTTTACTACTATCATTATTATTATTATTATTATTATTGTAATTATTGGTAGTAGTATTATCAATATCATCATTATTTTTAGCGTTATTATTATATTTTGTTATTATTTTCATCATTGTATCATTAACATGATGTATGTTATCGTGTTCATGGATATAAGCTTTATGATGCAAGAAAAAAAAATCCCTTAAAAGTAGGAAATTCTGTTACGTTTTTCTGTGGTGCGCATCCCAAGTGTATTTTGTTTTTTGCGAGCGTCGTCCCTTCTCGGCGAGCAGGCGGGAAGAACGGTGCGCGGCTGATGATTGTCCTTTAAAATCAGCAATTGTGCAGTCTACAGTGATATATCCAAATATCTATGGTATGTGATTTATAGATTAGGTCCCAATGTTATAATTAACAAGTTACTGAAATATGATTATGAGAATATTCACAAGATACAAGCTGTGTAAAGTGCATCTGGAGTTTGTTGTGTCCTGCTAGAATATTTGTGTGTACAGATTACAGAGTCAGTGCCCGGATGAAGATATGTATGAGCTGTACTTCTAGAACAAGGATCAAAGGCTGTGGAGCTACTGAAGTGAGTCTTTTTTAAATATGTTGTCCATGATATTATCAATTTTGTGGTGATCAAAGTTTTAATTTTCAAATGGTCTGTATATATTATCAATTTTGTGGTGATCAAAGTTTTAATTTTTTTAATGATAGTTCTGTATTTTTTTCGTGTGTGTTATATTTCTCATAAGGTTATGTTTTCGAGGATCTTGCTAATAATATGCATTGTGATAATAGATTAGGGATAATTATTGTAGAATCCATTTGAAGGAATTATTTCTATGACAAAATTTGGCATCTAAGAGTTTTTTTTTTTTTTTTTTTTTTTTTTTTACTTTGGCAAAGGTTAGGTTAGCATGTTTGGTCTGTGAAAGTATGTGATTTACATGAGGTTGGATTATTTAAATTTGTTTTCTTGTGTCAGATCTCTGACCATTTCACATTAGCCTGTTCCATAATATGTATATATGTTTATTTTGTGAGTGTACATCACATTTGTGTTGATTTCTGTTGAGATTTCCTTCCTTACATTCTTGATCGTTTCAGGTCGAAATTTTTCCTTTCCTGAATAAATGAATCTTAAGGCTGAGGGATTCTGATCCTTGTCTCCAAGATCAAATTTTATTATCAATGTTATTATTATCATAACTGTTTTTTTATATTGTTATTATTATCATCATTATTACTGTTATTATTATCAATACTATTATTATTATCAATATCGTTTTTATAAACATTATGGATACTATTACCATTATTATTATTATTCTTGTTCTTATCATTATTATAACTGTTACTGTTATTTTTGTAATTATTATCATCGTTATTAACATTATTGTTATGATTTTATAATTTTTTTAGATTCTATTTTTATGTCTTCATAGTTATTATTCCCTTCGTATCATCATTTCATGGCTCTCATTATTATCATTATTGGTGTTTTATTATATCATTTTCATTATTATTGGTGTTATCATTGTTATCATTATTACCGTTATCTTCATCACTCTTATCATTATCAACATTATTACTACTACTACTGTCATTATTATATTATACGGGTACTGTAGCCCAGGAGATCAAGGACATTCTGTTAGCACTCGATGAAGGATGCTTCAGAACTGCAGGATTTAAGTGCCGAGTTCTGCGCTATTGACCATAGATTGATTGTGGCTACACTTCGGGTCCACTTCAGTTCCACCTTGATAGATTGGGAAACGAGGAGTGCGGCCGGAGGTTCGCCGCAGCTATCTCTGATCGGTTCACAGTGCACGAAAACGTAGTTCTGTGGGACTCTTTCGATCGTGAAACCATTAGCGAACGCCCAAGCGCAAAGTAGAATTTCATCTCACTGGAGACACTGGAGGTCACAGATGCGTGTCGCGGGGATCGGGATTTGCGGCGTTCCTTGATGCTCAGGGCTCGGACTATGCTGAGAAGGGACAAGGAACAGTTCATCTGGAATCTTGCTGAGGAGGTTGAAGGCCATTTCTTAGTAAATGACGTTCGTCCTGCCAGCCAAGCCTTGAAAAAAATGAACTCCAAACCCTCCTCGCGGTTGACCGGTCCTCTCTTTGGGTAGACGGACCATCTCAGATTATGCTTGGCTCTGAGCAGCTGTACCAGGTAGACTCTCCAACAGTTAGGCTGGATGCAAGCGTTTTTGCATTCCCTGTGACGGACCCAATGCTCTCTTCAGTAAGGAAACTCCTATCCAAACTGAGGTTAGAGAGGCCATCACTAAGCTGAAGGGTGGGAGGGCTGCAGTCATAAGCGACATCCCTGTTGACCTGCTAAAGGTTAAAGTTGTACCTACGTCATGGAGCCTCATATTGACCTGGGTTCCTCTCCCCTGCCGTAACATCACACTGCTCAGTATACAGGCAAGGTTTATGTCCACATTCTTTTGGAATTGACCCGTGACTATTCAGTAAGGCATCAGAGTCCGGCGCAGTCTGGATTCACCTCTGTCAAGTCCACAGAAGACCACATCATAACACTTTCAGTCATAATGGAACGACAGTTTGAGTTCGGTCGGAGGCTGCTTGAAGCCTACATCTTCCTCAAGAAGGCATTTGATTCGGTGCATCATGAATCGTTATGGGAGATCCTTAGACAGGGAAATTCTGATACAGATTATTGGTATAATATCAATCCTATACACTGCTACTTAAAATGATGTAAAGTGTGATGGGACATGTCGACCTTCTGTTACCTCAGGACTAAGGCAAGGTTGTGCCCTTGCACCAACACTTTTCACCCCGTGCATGAACTGTGGAGCAATTTCAGGGTCATGGACCTCGACGTTGCTGACGATGTTACTATCCTGTCTAAAATCACTAGTGGCGGCTTTTGATGTATTCAGCAATGAAGTGAATCCCTTGATAGAGGTCTCCTGGATCAAGATCAGAATTTTGGGGGCCTGTTAGGGGAACTTTTTCAGTCGATACACGTTTGTGGTGAGGACGTTGAAGTCATAGAGAGCTTTACATACCTTGGTAGCGCAATCCATGGCTCAAATCAGTAAACGGATTGGCCTGG